AAGAACATACACAACATTTTCAGTATATTATGCTTCATTATTTAAAGAAAGGTAAAAACGCAACTGAAATGCAAAAAGAGACTCGTGCAGTGTATGGAGAAGGTGCTGTGAGTGATCGAACATGTCAGAAGTGGTTTCTGAAGTTTTTTGGTACTACTGACATTTTGACCAAATAATTCTTTGCTGTGGGGCTGTCTTATGCATTGGAAGATGTTTAGCAGCACCCCTGGCCTCTACCCACTAGGAGCCAATAGAGGGAGATAGCCAACACACTCAAAGTATACAAATCAATTAAGTTATTGGTGAAAATGAAAAATGTGTCTGTTACTTTACAGAAAAAGCATTACAGACCTTTTGGCCAAGCCAGTACAAAATGGAGCTCGTGACAGTACCTACCTCACAGGGTCATTGTGAGAATTAGCATCGTGAGAATTAGCACCGTGAGATGCTGCTTTAACAGAACGCCTAACACTATCAGTAATGCAACTCCTAATTTCTTCTCTGAAAATCTGAAGAATTTACGTACAAGAACTCCTCGCACCTCCGGGTCCAGGGTTTGGCACAACATTGTACAATTAATAAAGGAGGAGGAGAAGGCCAACACATCCTGCCTGACCCACTCAACCATTCCCCACTGCAAACTCTTTCCCACATCCCTCTAACCTTCACCGTGCCACTTGAGTTTTCACTATCCTAACCCACAAGACACATTCACCTCACTCCTACCTCCCCTCCACCTACCAAAAAGTCCAAATTCTCTAGCACAGCCTTCAAGGCCCCCACCACATCCTCTGCCCAACCCGCCTTTCCAATGTCATCTCCCAAAATATCCCTCTACACTCAATCCCCCATCATCCCTCTATGAAGCCTTTAAGGAGCCAATCAGAATTCATTGTTCCTTCCTCTCTGGTCTTATCAGGCACTGCTTTTATCTCTAATTACCTGGTCTTATATCTGCCTCTTCCACTAGATACAAAGGGCACAATTTGCTAATAAGTAAATCTGCTAATAAAAATACATGATTGAATGAATAATGAGTCTGTTTTTGCCCAGTCCATTCTAAGCATGGACACTTAGGTCCAACATTCTTCTGCTCTCAACGCTCCAGTGGCTCTCACCTCCCTCAGATGAGGACCCAAGGTCTTGGTATGACTTACTAGGTCTGCCCTGACCTAACTGCCCACCTTCCTCCAGAGTCTCAGCCCCTGCCCGCTTGCTCACTGCACTCCAGTGGCACTGACCTCCTTGCCTTTCCTCAAACATGCCAGGCACCTCCTGGCCTCAGAGCCTTTGCACTTTCTGTTCCCCTGCCTAGGACAGGAGTCAACAGACTACATCTCTAAAGGGCCATATACATAGTAAATATGTTTGGCTTTGCAAAAATATAGGGTTTGCAGGCTATAATGTCAAACAATTCTACACTGCATCATAGCTCAAAGCAAAAAGCAGTCTAAATGATAAACAATGGATGTGACCAGAGTTGGTGCTCAAGCTATAGTTTGCCAAACCTTGGCTTGGGTCACAGGAGGTGCTCCAAAAGTATTTACTGAATGAATATATCAATGAACAAATAAAGGATACCCCATGAGCCTGTGCAGAGGACCTAACAACATAGGTCCCCAGCTGAGAATCACAGAGCAAGGCTGACAGTTGGATAGCCATCCTCCTCTGGTCACTCCCAGCACCAGATCCCAGCCCTTGCCTCCTCCGAATCCCATCTCCTAGTTCACCATCCTCTATGTCTGTCTCTGTGGGCGATGGGGCCATTCTAGCCTTGAGACAACCTCCAGGTGGGGAAGCGGTGAAGCAGACACAACTCTGAAGACCCAGTTTTCATGCAAATGTCCTCAATAATAAAAGAGGTGGAAATTGAAAAACATAAAACAGATGATATAGGAGCCAAACTGTGTCTAAATAGACTGGAGCTGGAGTTTTCCATAGGGTGTCAGTGAGCCTTTAACATGCAAATGAGTTGCTTCCTTCAGGGTATTTTAAAAGACCCTGTCAGCTGTGAAATATGTCTGTCCATGAAAAACACCTTTTATTATTAAACCCTTTGCTAATGAATCACCTGCCCTCTTCTATTTATTTGCCTTTTTGACTTTCACCTGAGTTTCCTGTCATAATAAGCACACACTTGGTGAGGGTTGGGGGTGTTCTGGTGCCATCAAGACCCTAAACCTAATCATATGATAATATTAGCAATAACTAACCTCTCCAAAGCCCTTTGTACTGCTTATCTTATTAGGTATTCCACACAAGTGAGTGAGATGAGATAAATATCATCATCAGCCCAGGTATAAGTGAGCAATCCCAGGAGCACAGAGGGCATGTAATATGCCCCAGGTGACAGCTAATAAATGGTGGAGTGAGAGTTCGGGCCCCTTTCTTTATGGCACATGACCTCCTTGACAGGCACTCACAGACCTCCGTTCACCAGCATTCTTAACACTGTTCACAGGTTAACTGCTTCAATCACCGTGGGCAGGGACTTTGATTTCTGACCCTCTACTTACTGCACCCAAACAATGCCAGGCATGTGGAAGATGCTGCTCAGAGCCCTGGAAATCAATACCCTGTCACCAGAGCAACCAAATCACCTCACTAGAAACAACTGATTGTGTGAAACACGAAGGAGAGCTGTGTTACTGTCAAATCTATGGTAAGAATGGAATCCATCTCGGAAGACCGTTAGGGAACACCCCAGCTGGGGATGAAATGTAGCAACAGGAAAAGTCTGCAAAGTTCTACAAATGGAAGTTGATGGTCAACTAAAATATCCATTCCCTGGACAGAACTAAATGCGGAAGCAAACACTTCCAATTCATGGGCCAGTGAGTGGCTAGACCTTTTCAGTTATCATCCATCCCCAGCCCCCTCTTGATGCCACATTTCAGGACAATAGGCCTGGAATCACTTTGCCCTGCCTGGTACACAGATGAGAACAGCCAGAGGAAAGGCACTAAAGGCTCTAATTGCTTTAATCCTGTAAAATGACCACAGCCTCCTCCCATTTCCTAGACAGAGTATTAGACAAATGAGCATTATTTTTTTCTGGGCTGCTCTCAACACTGGAAAAGACCCAGTCATACCTTTCAAGTAATCAGGTTTTGAGGGAAACCTGGTTACTGTTGTGGATAAAAATCAAACAAGGTGCCAATACCATAGTGTCTCAAGTCTGGAGAGATGCTGAGTCAATGCCCAGGGACCTTCCAGTTGGCCTGAGCAGATTTACAATCTCCCCTGCCTGAGAGTGTTGCAGCCTCATGTGGCCACACTCCTCTTCCTAGTGTTTGATGCCCAGAAGGTGGCTGAATCAATATTGAGTAAATAAAGGAATCCCTGACTGATGCCAAGGTCCCAGAGTAGACAGGGAAAATAAATCTCGCCCAAGCAAGGAATAAAAAGTCTCCATTCTGGGAAAGAGGGGCTCAGGCAGAACAGTGGCAAACCAAGTGCCAAGAGCCAGCAGGAGGTTAAGTGCATGAGAATGCAACGGGAGAGGTAGACTGCCAAGTGCTTAAACACCTCCTGTAGCTTGCACAATACTCTCTGACAGGTACACTGTTAGAGCCCTGTTCTACAGATAAGGAAGTTGAGTTTTAGAAAACGTAAGAAACCTGGCAGAAAAGCTAGTAAGTGTTGGAGCCTGAACTTGAATACAGGTGTGTCTTTCCAACCAAGAGAGCACATGGTAAAGTTAAATAAGTGGCCTGCTGGGCCCTGAGGTGGGTCACTGGAATCCCTCTGGTGTGAAAATCTAAACCCAGGAGGTAAATCAGTAAGTTGAGGGGGATGGGAGAGGGAAGGAATGGGCGCCTGAATTAAGCACTATTCTTATATTATAGGTCCCTTGTCTGACAAGAAAATGTGTATATTAAAAAGAAATGAAAGGCACTCTCTGAGCAGAGGTCAAGCCTTGCATCCCTAAGGGCTGCTGAGAAGTAGCCAAGCCCGTTATGACACAATAAGATAGAATATGATGTATTCCAGGAAGTATAAAATAAACTACATTAAAATTTGTCTGTAAGGTAATGTGGGGGGAATTAACAATGTACAAAGTAACACGCATGTTTACTATAATATCAAAATCAAACCAGCAAACAAGGACGGAAAGGCCCATAACCAAGTATAAAGAGTTGGAGCTTTAAGGTCTTAGAATTTCTTATGATACAACAGTAGAAGTTGAAAATAAGTCCCCCGACCAGCAACACCCCACCTTCTAAGGGATGCAAATTCTTGCTCCAGGCCGACACTGAATCAGAAACTTTGGTGACAGGGTCCAGCACTGTGTTATAACAGCCTTCTGGGTGATTGCTATGCACACTACATGTGAAAAACACTGCAATGAGAAAATGCTTAGAGAAAACGAGTGAGGGCACAGATAAACTCTAATTCACTTTCAGCTGGGCAAACATTTCTGGAGCACCCACGAAGTGCCAAGCATCATGAAAGTAATCAATAAATACTCATTGAATTGAATGACTTCCTTGTCAAAAGTAAATGCCACTTAAGCTGGGAAGAGAGCTGTATTAGATGTCTTTCAAAGGCTGCTCTCCAGACACTGGCTGTCGTGGGCACTCATTCATTGTGGGACCAAAAAGCGAAAGCGCAGGGCTAAGGTGCTGGAAGTAAGGAGCGCTCCGGCAAACGCTGTACGTCCAGCTGCGAGGGCCGAGGTCGCTGCGTTGCCCCTGCTCTTGTTCAGGAAACGCTCCTGCCCCAGCTGCCTGAGTCTTGGCGCTCCCAGACTACCTGGAGGTGAGGACGTCTGGGTGAGCCACCTGCTGCCCTCCTCCAGCTCAGCTCTGCCTACAAGCAAGACTGAGCCACCTAAACAGCCAGTTCGCGCTTCAGCCCCCAGGTAAGCCAGACTGCAGAGTCTCCGCAGAGAAGGCAGGGTGCTTCCAGTCACCCAAGCCAAGCGCGCCAGCGCCCCGGGGTGACAAGGTCACTGGCTGGGGCCTCTTCCTGCCCCCGAGGTGGCTGCTGTAGCCCCAGCAGGGGTGGCGCCCGGTGCGTCCACACTGGCTGCCCCAAGTTCCTCGCGCCGTGATACCCTGGGGGCCCCCGGCTCTGCTCCCGCCTCCGAGTGGCCGCCCTACTCACCCAGAGGGCAACCCAGCTTCCGTGCCCGGCCTCCCGCAGCCGCAGGTAACGGAGTTTTCAGGCAGTGTCGCTCTCCTCCACCCCTGGTGTGCGTTTGGTTAGGCCGGGGGCGCCGCGCGGCCTGCTGGGATTTGTAGTTCTTTTGGTTCCCTAGGCCATAGGGACTCGGGACAAAGAACCGTGAGGTCCCGCCTGACCGCTGAACTGGGGAAGGCAGAGGGCTCGCAGATACTTTACCTATCAGATCGCCTTGCTTCTTTGCTGAGGCTGCGGACACAGAATCTTCCTGAAGATTTGTCTGTCAAAAGGCTTTCCAATTAGGAAAGTGTTCAGTAGAGGATGGAGTTGCGGGTTTTTAACCAAACGCAGGTTCAGCTGCCTTCCTCAACGAAAGCCAGTCTCATGAGACAGGTGCTGGGGAGAAGGAAAGCGGTTTATTCAAGTGCCCCAAGCCCATTTTACATCTTAGTGCAGGCTAGGGTTTTTATCAGGAGGGAGAGGGAAAGCAGAACAAAGAGATTGTGGGAGGAGGGTTGAAAGTTCTCTAGCGTAAGTCGACACAGTCCATTCCGATGATTATCTCCAAACTAACCAAGCAGAGGTCCCCTTTTTATGGTTGCGAGTCAGCAGGTCTGCCAGAATGAGGCGCCAGTTGCTGGAGTCAGCCTACGTTCCAGAAGCCAGTTCCTGTAATATGTGCAAAAGGACTGTTAGCATTTATGGCAGGCGTGACAACCCCAGACCTTTTGTTTTTTGTTTTTTTTTTAATCCTCACCTCAGGATGTTTTTACTGATTTTTAGAGAGACAGAGAAATATTAATCAGTTACCTCCCATACATGCTCTGACTAGGTAGCAAACCCACAACCTACTATGTGCCCTGACTGGGAACCGAACCTGGAACCTTCTGGTGTACAGGACCATGCTCCAACCAACTGAGCCACCCCAGCCAGGGCCCAGCCTCTGATTTGAGGCACACATCCTGTATCCCCGATTAGGAGCGAAGCATTGTTCATTATATGTTGTTTAATCAAGAAGTTTATTTCATTGGTTAACATAAATTTTCATATATCTTCCGTAACAGGTCGTGTATTTTAAATAAGGTGTTAGGACAAGTAGGTGAGGAAGAAATTTATTTGCAATTTACTTGCAGCTGCTAAATAGTAAGAATGTGCTGATTCATCTTAATTATCTTTGGCCCCATTTATTCATTCACTGACTGCTATTGAATGTTCATGAGATGTACTTTAGAGACATTCATCAGATGTTCGTTCACTCTACAAACATCTCTTGAGCTACTTTCTGGGGGAACAGAATTGGAGGTGGGCTTCATCTATCAATTCAATGCAACTAAATTTTCAACAGGACTTTTTTTGGACCTTCACAAGGTAATCTAAAATTTACATGTCAAAACAAAGGGCAAAGTATGGCCAAAATACTCTAGAGGAAAAGTAACATGTTTCAAAGACTTAGCCTTCCATATATATCCATTTATTATAAAACTATAAAAATTAAGACATGTGGTATTAGTATGAGGATAAACAGAAGGGGAGAATGAAGCAGCCTCAAGAGCCCAGGAACAGGTCCTGCCATGTTCGGAATCTTGATATGACAGAGCAGGCATTACAAAGCAATGGAGGAAGATAACCTGTTCAGTACATGAGGTCTGTCCAGAAAGTATCCAGCCATATACTCTGAAAAATAGAAGCACTTACTGAAGAAGATACAAGAAACATTGTGCATAAAACAATGACACTTCAGTCCCCTTCAAAGTAGGCACCTTGGGACCTCACACAGTCCTCCCAGTGTCTCTTCCACTGTTCAAAACACTCTGCAAAATCCTTTGTCAGAATCTCCACCAGCTGCCCCATCATATTATCAACAGTCTGAAATCTCTTCCCTTTCAAAGGTGATTTTCGTTTTGGGAAAAACCAGAAGTCACAGGGAGCCAAATCTGGGCTGTAGGGGAGCAGAGTCACATGGAGTCAGATGTTTTAACAAAAAAACACTGCGGGAGATGTGATGCATGAGTGGGTGTGTTGTTGTGATGAAGCTGCCAATCCTGGAAGCATTTGTGCAACACTTTTTATTTGCACTGCACTCACTGCATTGTCCCCCAAAGCCTTCTGAGTTATCCAATTAGTTTCCACGGAGGAATGTTCAAGCTCAATGCAAAATTTGATGAAGATTCATTGGTCTACTTGTTCAGTCATTTTGAATGTAGCACTTATACAGTGAAGTTGTCATTGTTCACACATTCACATTCTAGTCCCCTCTCCTCGGCTGCCAGGTGACATCGATGTCACACAAACTGTTCTCATTATATTAACAATGGCCGGACTTTTTCTGGACAGACCTTGCATAAGCTGGAGCAGGTAGTTATCTGTTAGATTCCTAACTCACCCGCACACAGAACTTAATTCCAGGTAGATTAAAGACTTTAAAGGGAAAAAGCGAAATCAGAACTTTTGAAAGAAAATTAAGGAAAACATTCTACAACCTCCAAGTAGTATAAACTTTGACAAATTTGGACTACCTTAAGTTCAAAAACTTCTCTTCATCAAAAGGCATGAAGAAAAAGACAAGCCACAAACTGGGAGAAGACATTTGCAATACAAAGATAGCAGTAGCATAGAATTACATAATATAGCCTCCACCACCTTCAGTTTGCAATATATAGATATTAACATTAGAAAGTTAATAATTTCCAAGTGGTGGCAGAAGTGTTAAGATAGAGGTATGAACAAAGCAGTGTAGGAACACAAAGAAGAAAGACTTAATTTTGCCCAGGAGAATTTGAAGTGCTCCATAAATTAAGAACTGACCTGTAGGCTGGGAATTAAAGGTTGAATAGGGGCTCCCCAGGAGAAGGGTATTGAGGAGCAGCTCAGGTACAGGACAAGCCATATTAAAAAAAAGCATAAAGATATGGCTGAATACAGTAAAAGACAAAGATATTTAAAGTAAAAGTAGATAATGTAAAACCACAGAGGATATAACAAGTGAACAAAACAGTCAAGGTCCCAGCCCTTGTAGAGTGTCATCTGGGTGGGGCAGGAGGAGACAGACAATAGACAAGCAAAGAAATAACAGCATAGTTGCATGATATGATAAACCCTGTGAAGGAAAGGATCAGGGGAGTGTGGTAAAGAACACCTGAACAGAGTAGTCAGACAAGGCCTCTCTGAGGATGCTATAACCTGATGTATGAAGAAGTCAGCCATGGGGAAAACAAGGAAGTATGTTCCAAGCAGAAGGAATAACAAGTGCAAAGGCCCTGGAATGAAAAAGAGTTTGGTGTATTTGAGAAATATGTTTTAAATTGAGATGGGATACAACCAGAGAGCCTAATAGAAAATGCACTGAGCAACCAAAGACATAAGAGGAAGCAACCATCTTTTTTCAGAATCTTCCAGGGTCTCAGTTCTGTTTCTGGGGCAGCAAAGACTGGGGTTGGTAAATTGAGTATTAGGAATACTATCCAAGAGAGGATTTCATGCAGGATGCTGTATATCTTGTCCTAGAAGTGGACCATCTGGGGTAAAGCATCACATAGCAGTCAACCAGAGGAAAAGCAAAAGAACCCAAAATACAAGGTTCTTCCTTAAGGCAAAGAGAAAAGACTCTTGCAGACGAAGTGATAAAGAAACTGTGTTCCATGCAGGAGGGAGAAGCTGGAGGCCTCTGGTAAGGGAAGCAGGAAAGTTGCATTTGGTGCTAACAGCATCCAAAGGTGGGCAACACCCTACAGGGGCTGTATCCATAGAAGTGGTAGCAAAAGGAAACATGAGCTGGAGACCAGGAAGCTTGAATTAACTAACACCTTCCCAGGACAGAGAATGTCCCAGCAGGACAGAAGCAGTCAAGCCCAGACTTAGGGCGGGAAGGTCAGGGTCCTGCTACCCCCAAAGGGCCATTTATCATTTGTCAGGGGATTGGTGTGTATACATTTGTGTGCTGGGGTGGAAAAGCAGAAGTCGGGGGCTGCTGGCCCTGGACACTTCCAGGTTTCAATAACCATGACATGGGAACTTGCTTGGCCTGCTCCATGAGGTGGTCAGGCTGGCCTGGCTTGATGAAAGGTTAAAGGGAATTTTTTTTAATAATTGGAAGGATATAAATCAAGGTGAGTTATCTGGACTTAATTTGCAACCTGGGAGCTAAAAAAAGTAACATGGACAACAGGGAATTCTTATCTGCCTCTGCCTGGCTGAAGAATCTTGCAAAAGGCACATTAACCAAGCCAAAGGAAAGTTTTTTTCCTCTTCTTTTTTTTTTTTTTTTTCAGATTCATTGAGCTATAACTGATATATCCTTAAGTTTTCCTAACTGCCATAAGGGAGAGGAAAACTCTTTGTGGAAAACAGCTGATGTCTCTTAGTAAGGAATAAAAACCATATGAATTCATAGCCAGAATTCTAAATCAATTTATTAGATATATATATATTCCATATACATTTCTATGCAAATAAATAAATACATATGCTATCATTTATCAAGTATTTGTTGTTTAAGGGCTTTAAATATATTTTCTCATATAATCCTCAGAGATATCTTTATTATCTCCATTTTATAGTGAGCAAACAAAGGCACAGAGGGTTAAGTAACTTACCCAAGATCACTCCTTAAGGGCAAAGCTGGGGTTGTACCCGATGATTCTGATCCCAGAGCCCGCATTCTGCACTGGGCAGCCCACTCTGTTCATAGAAATATTTAGAGAGAGAGTCATTGGAGGCAAGTATCTAGAACCCAAGTAAACTGTGCCCTGAAGTCTTCGAGCAGTTTTAAGAGAAAATAGGGAAGCTGGCTCAGCACTGATCTTTTATTGCCAACCATTAATTGACATCAGCATTCAGATTAGGAGGCAGGATGAACTGGGAATTAGGCAAGTGGATTCTAGTCCTGCCTATGCTACTGGTTGCCAGCCTTGGACCTGGGACCTACCAGTCAGTTACCCTCCCTGTGACTTAGGATCCTCTTGTGCAAAGTAGAGGAAGTTTACAGGCAGAACTCAGAGGGCTCTTCCAACTCTCACGTTCCCTGATTCTTTGCTTACGTAAGCAGTGCCTACCTCCTAGGATCGATGCAGAGGGCACACGTGAGAAATCCCCATGCTGAGTATCCTGTGTACCCTCCCCGAGTGCTTTCTGCACTCTTCTGTGCCTGCCCTGTGCCCCAGGACGCTGGCCAGACTGCTTGCTTCCCCAGGGCTTCTCTGCCATCTGTCTTCTATTTGGGTTTGACCATGAGCAGGAGACAGGAGACCAAAGGAGAAAAGTATCTGTGTTTGTTCACACACACACACACACACACACACACACACACACACATATTCCTGTGACCTGCCCTTCCTGTCTGCATTGCAGCAGGGGATGGGTTCCTCTCCAGCCACAGCTCCAGTCGGGCTACATCTGCCCTAGTCCCAGCTTCTTGCTGGGCTCAGGAACACCATTGCCACATGGTCACCCCTTTAGACCTAGAGGTGCTAATGGCTTCCTGCTATGTTAGTGCCCAGCTGCTTCCCTACCACTTGTTCATCCCCTTAGCTGCCCATAGCTCTTCCACACAGTCCATCCATTCTGTATTGAAACCCTTGAACATGCCAGCTGTTTCCTGTAGGACCCTGGTGGGGAGATGGCTTTCCTCCTTGTTATTGCTACCATTATACTGAAAATCTCTCCACCTGTCATGAACCAACACAGGAATCCCAGACCTGCAGCAGAGAACCTAGAAATAGGCACTTTCAGGGTGAGGGAGCAGGAGTCCCCAAATCTCCCATAGTGGCCAGAGTATCAATACCAAAGTCTATAAAAGCTCTCAGGCTCTCTTGAGAGAGGCAACATGAGTCAGAAAAACCTGGGTTTGGATCTTGGCTCTAATTCACTGGGTTTAAATCCTAGGTCAGCTACTTCCGGCTGTGAGACCTTCCTGTGCTTTAGATTCCTCACCTATAAATTGGGTGTAATAGTATGTACCTCTCAGGGTTGCTGCAAGGATTGAGAAAGACAGCCTACGCTAGCTCACGCTAGCACCATGGCTGAGACATACCAGATGGATTCTCCATAAATGTTAATTCTCTTCCTCTCTGTTAGGTATGTAAGAGGAAGAGAGGGGAAGCCATTAAAACAACTAAGTGAGGGAAGGTGGCTTCTCCAGAAATACGCACCACCTCCTTCATTTCTCCAGTGGAACAGCCAGGGGCTGGAATGGCAACAGACCAAGGAATTAAAACAAGAAAAAAGAACAACTCATCAGAAACCAGGCTTAAAAAAAAAAAAAAGACAATGCCCAAACCCAACTGCAGCAAGCAATTAGAGAACAATAGCTAAATACTTTCTATAATTAGAGCGAGAAACCATCGAGAGTGATCAGAGCGCCTTTGTCTGCACTGACCCTCTACACCCAAAAAAGGTCTTGGCTTGCACGAGATGGAGACTGGGATCTTTGTGTCTTTTTTAGTTTTCTTGAGCAATTAACTCTCACACCACCCTTCTGAAGCCAGGAAAGGAGGGCAGAGGAGGCACTAAGCACCCTCTCATCAGAAAAAAAGGGCAATGTGGCTCATGTCAAGGGTTAATTTGATCTTGAAAGAGGAAAGGGTCTTACAGCTTCCTCTGAGAGCTGCTGGCAGAAACCCCGGTCACTCTGCTGATGGGGCAGGCAGGTGAGTTGGCATTTCTGTAGGAAGAGGAGGCACGTGGACTTTGCCATCCACCTATCGTGCCTCTTTTGCTAAAATCTGATGTAGAGCAAATTCTTATCTTTAATAAGAGATATTCTAGACAAAAGCAAAGGAGAGGATATTCCCACAAAGATTAGTGATAGAGAATTGCTCTCTTGGTTTTCCCAGAAGGACCAAGCCAGCGTCCTGGCCCTGAATCTCTGTGCCTGCCCAGGCACTGCTATTCTTCCTGGGCCCCTAGGTCCAAATTCAGGTCCTCCTTTTCATTCTTCTCAGTTCACTCATCACTAGCTAACTCAGCCTATCAACACCTTCTTCTATACACCCCTCCCATCTTTCCCTTTCTCCACATTCCTATCACCATGAACATTGTCAAGCTCCCCATACATTCATCTCTAGACTTTTCCATAGACTTCCATCCAGGCCCCCTTCCTCCAGAATCTACCCCTTCAAAGACATCCCACAAAGGACCACCTAAAACACTACATCCACAATGCCAATGTATACATGGGGACTTTCTAAACTATGGCACAAGTGCCCCTGGTGGCACACTGGATCATTTTAGGTGGTGTGGTACACACAGAGATCTGCCTGGGTCCCCTTTGCCAGACCAGGACCCCCATCACTCAGCTGCCCCATTTTCCAGAGAACTGACAGGACTGAAGGGAGTTTCATCAGGAAATATCTAGATAGTCATACCCTCCCACATTCCCACATCAGGCTTTCAGGAAGGTATTCTGTTTCTTGAACACCAGGATGCTACAAAACTGTTTCTTTGGGAGAATACCAGGTCAGTGTTGGGAAATCAAGGGCACCTGCAACTCAGCTTCGTGAGAGGCCATGGAGACCTAGTTATCCCGACTGGAGGGAACAGTTACTGGGTATCTACAATGCTCCAGGTACTGAGCTACTATTAAGCACCAGACCTTGTTTTCAGGATACTGATATAATTAAGATGATATCGCTGCCCTGCTAAGAACTCTGTAGACCTATGTCTAAAGCAATGCTGGGGTTGGGGGCTGGGGAAAATCTCCTCTGTCCATGAGTATAACGAAGTTCAGGATCCAGTAGTTGGGTTGCAGTGTGGACTCTCCCACTTGCTAGCTCAGAGACTCCAAGCAAGTCACTGATGATGTCTGCTGGCGCACACACACACACACACACACACACACACACACACACACAGCAATTGATCAATTGATATGCCCTTTAGAAGTCTGGAAGTATATATATTGATGTAATGAACATTGTCTCTGGGTAAGAGGATGCAGGTGGTTTTTATTTTCTTCTGTTTGCTTTCTCATTATTTAAAATTTTTTCCACAGGAGCCCTAGTCAGGTAGCTAAGTTGGTTAGAGCATCATCCCAATATGCTAAGGTTGCAGGTTCAATCTCCAGTCAAGGCACACGCAAGAAGCAACCAATGAATGCATAAGTAAGTGAAACAACAATGATTTGTTGCCTCTCTCTCACACACACACTAAAAGTCAATAAATTTTAAATTATTTTCCAAAGAGAATAAAATCTTTTTCAAATCAGAAAAATAGAATCACTAAGATTTTTAAATGTGCTTTAGTTATCAGAAGTATGCTCCAAGGTCCGCTCTTTTGAGGCATATCCCCTCCTCCCCTACTTTGTCTATCTACATATCTATCTGGCAATGTACCTCAGAGGGTAGTTGGCAGGACCACCTTCTTCAAAACCACTTGGAAATCTTATTAAAATACAAATTCTAAGCCTTATTAAAACACAAATTTTATTTTCAGATTCAGACAGTCTGGAGCGGGAAGTTGTCAAAATCCAGAAATCTATATTTTGACATGTTCCCTAAATGATTCTTCTCTGTACCATAAGCTAAGAACTACTGTTAAGGTGAGCGAAGGATTCTATTGACATTCATTTTCGAGGTAACGATGACTTATTCATGCACATATACCTTTTGAAAGTGTTACACATCTTTGTAAAGTAAGTTTGCTGAATGGGTGACATTTGTGTTGAGTTATATGGGACTATGTCCCTGTCTCTGAAGGGGTCTTGGGCTATAACACTTTTATAGTTCTACCTATTTTTAACTGCTGTTCTTCATCCAGTGTCTGTTGTTCCTTTATAACATCAGTTATTTACTACCTCCTAGTGCACAGATTGTCCTACTAAGAGAAAATGGGGATACTTAGAGAAATGATTCATTCCACATCTGAAGTTGGAAATTAAGATGATGATCTTGGAAAATCTTGTCATAACACAAAGCACAGAAGTTATGAAAGCCTACTGGAGTTGGGTCAGAAGGACTCAAAAGTCAACACAAAGAGCCTCTAACTTGCTAAAAGTGGGAAAATTTCATCATCAACCAGCTAAAAACATCAATGGATTAAAGCACATCAGGTATGTTTAACTCTGTGAGTTTATAATGATACTCAAAAAAAAACTAAGTCACTTCTGAAGAGTGCCAGGAAACCACCTAATTATTTTAAAAACTAATCATTCAAGAAAAAAGAAACAGGCATTTATTCTCTCTTTGTTTTCTGTTCCCAGTGGTAATCAAATCATTGATGAAGGGAAGAATCTCTTTTACAGAAGTATTCCAGCTCATAAATGGAAAAGGAATAATAGAATATCACCCAGTTGTTATTCCTAATGATTTATGGATGAAGCAATGATCATAACTGGCCAATATAATCCTAACAAAGACCACCAGACTTTGAATCTTCTGGATTGAAGTAAACACCACCATCTCTGAAGTTGCTTTATCTCTCCCATACCCCACCTCAAAAGCAAGGCAAACAAAGCCCTTAATCTGATCAAGTCTCTACATCTAATGAAGAATTTACAGGAGATGACAGAGGAGGGATAGCATCACAAAGATAAAATCAAGCCTGTGGAAAACCCTACAGGCAAATGACCTAGTCTCTTCAATAAAATATTGCATGGAAAAAATTAGATGGATGGAGACCTATAAGTAAAAGAGAAATGAGACCTATCAATAAATCACAATAGGTAAAACTTATTTGGATCAAAAAGCAAAACCAAAACCACATAAAAATATATATAAAACACAAAAACATTAAGATAATCAGGGAAATGCCAATAGTGATTGGATCTTTGATGATATTATGCTATTAAGGAATTAATTATTCTTTAAATTTAGGTGTGATAATGGTACTGTGGTTGTGGTTTTTTTAAATGGAGTCTTCATATTTTAGAGACACATGCTAACATTTTTACATCAAATGAGATATGACGTTTGAGATTTCTTCCAAAATAATCTGGGGAAGGGAGTAGGAAAGGGTAAGATGGACAGGATTGGCTCTCTGTGGAAATTTGTTAAAGTGATGAATTCATCGGGTTCATTTTTCTGTTCTCTCTACCTTTGACACGTTTGAAATTTTCACAAATAAAATGTTCTGCAAACTCATGGCTAAAACTTGAAGATTTCAAAGAAGTACAAGAAGAAGATATAAATTATCCATAATCCCACCCTGCAGAGATAATCACTACTATCATTTCACAATATATCCTTCTAGCCTTTTAAATAATATGTATTAGAAATCCTGCTGTGAGTATTGTTTTCTATTTGATTTTCTCACTTAAGACAGTATATTTTCCTTGTCATTAAAAATTCTAAAACATTTTTCTTAATAGTTGCATTAGTATTTTAGTTCCTAGCATATATTTAATCAAAGCTATTTTTGCTGCTAAAAATTTTGCTGCTATAAGCATCCTTGAAAAGCTTTATTTTGGAGAAATATGTATTTTTTAAAATAGAGTTATTAATTAAAAGAATATAAATATTTTCAGAATTAAAACATTTTAATACATAATGTCAAATGGCTCTGTAGAAAGGTTATATTCATTTATGCTCCTACTAGTAGTGAGGCAGAATTCCCCTTTTCCAAAACCTTACTCTTACTCTTTCAGAAGCATTTAATTTTTCCTACTTAAAAAAGAATTCTAAGTCAGTTGAAAAGTGTATTGGAATCAGATAGACCTATCTCTAATCCTGTTAGCTGTGTGACATCATGAGACTTACTTAACATCTCTGGGTCTAAGAAAAGAACAATATTGGGAGGTCATGGCCACTGAATAAGATAATAAGTGTAGTAATATATATTATCTGTACATTTCATAGCACAGTGCCTGGCTTAGTAAACATTAGCTATAACTACCATCATTATCATTATCATTACTTATTCCCTTTCAAAATGAAATTTATAGTTCTGGGAATAGCTATTTCCTTTCATGAAGAGGCCTTTTTACTTGTTTCTCCAATCCAGTCTATCTCTAAGATCACTTAAGTATGCTTTTGATTGCAAGTAAGAGAAACACCAAGTCAAACTGACAGAGCTGCAGTTCTCAGAGGTAAAAGAAAATCAGAAGACATGGTCTGACTCTGTTCCTCTCAGTCATTCCCTGGGCGCTGCTCTTCTCTGACTGTTATTTTCATACTCATGTCCCTAGAATAGGATAACTTTCAACAGCAACCTAGTCTACATTCTTCTTCATTTACTTCCAGGTAGAATAGAAAGAGTCCCTGCCTACTACCCTTCAATTAGATCCTGAGATGTATACTGATTGGGAAAACTGCTTTGCTTGTTTGTTTGTTATTTAGTGGAAATTGATAAGCTGATTTTCAAAGTAAAGGAGCTGGACAAAACACATTATTGAATCAGGAGAACAGGGTAGGGAGAATTGCTGTAAGAGGAACAGAATGAAGAAGCCCCAAACAGAGTTACACATAAAGATAATTGCTACGTGAAATAGGTGTCTTGCAGATCAGTGAGAAAGGAAAGACTTTTTAATGAATGGTGCTGATTAAATCGAGCATCCACCTAGGAAAAAGTGAAATTACACACCTATCTCACCTCTTACACAGTAGTCTATTCCAGGTTAACTTAACCTAAATGTAAAAGGAAAAACTTTAAAACTTTACAAGATAATACAGGAAAGTATATTCAAGACCTTGGAAGAGGGAAGAATTTCTTAATCAAGAAACAAAAAAGCACTAACCATAATAGAAAAAGATTCATAAGTTTGCTTTCTTCTGGTCAAGATGGACATGTAGGTAGACACACTGAGCCTCCTCACACAACCAAAAGAAGGACAACAACCATTTAAAACCAAAAACAACCAGAACTGGAAGTCTAACAACCAAGGAGTTAAAGAAGAAGCATTCATCCAGACCAGTAAGAGGGGTGGAAATGGGTGGAGAGGACTCACGGCAATGCAGCAGCTGGTGGACCCAGTGAGGTGGCAGATTGTGGAGCAAGTAGTCCCACATTCACATGCAGATAAACCAGGGGGAGCAACTGGGAAGCGAGACAGACCATACAACCCAGGGCTCCAGCTCGGGGAAATAAAGCCTCAAACCTCTGATTGAAAACACCAGTGGGGGTTTAGATGGCAGCAGGAGAAACTCCCATCACTGGAGAGACCCACAGGGTCCTAGGACATACACAAAACCACCCATCTTGGAATCAGCATCAGAAGAGCCCAAATTGCTTGTGGATATCAGGGGAAGTGACTGAAAACTGGCAGAGAGCAGTGCAAGCGCCATTGTTCCCTCTTAGACCCCTCTGCCACATACAGCATCACAATGCAGCAACATGGGTTGCCCTGCCCTGGTGAACATCTAAGGCTCCGTCCCTTAATAGTAACAGTTGCGCTGAGACCAAAAAAAAAAAAAAAAAAAATTGCCCAAATGAAAGAACAGATCAAAGATCTAGAAAAAATACAACTAAGTGATGAAGAGATAGCCAACCTATCATATGTACAGTTCAAAACATTGGTAATCAGGATGCTCACAGAATTGGTTGATTTTGGTCAAAAATTATATGAAAAAATGAAGGATATGCTAAGTAAAATAAAAGAAAAAGTACAGGGAACCAATAGTGATGGGAAGGAAACTGGGACTCAAATCAAAGGAGCAGACCAGAAGGAAGAAAGAAACAACCAAACAGAAAAGAAGGAAGAAACAAGAATTCAAAAAAATGAGGAGAGGCTTAGGAGCCTCCAGGACAACTTTAAACATTCCAACATTTGAATTATAGGGGTACCAGAAGGGGAAGAGGAACAGCCACCAGTGGAAAACTTATTTGAACAAATAATAAAGGAGAATTTCCCCAATCTGGCAAAGGAAATAGACTTCCAGGAAATCCAGGAAGCTCAGAGAGTCCCAAAGAAGGTGGACCCAAGAAGGAACACACCAAGGTACATCATAATTACACTACCCAAGATTAAAATGAAGGAGAGAATCCTAGAAACAGCAAGAGATAAGGGGACAGTCACCTACAAAGGAGCTCCCATCAGACTGTCAGTGGATTTCTCAAAGAGACCTTACAGGCAAGAAGGGGCTGGAAAGAAGTATTACAAGTCATGAAATCCAAACACCTACAGCCAAGACTGCTCTATCCAGCAAAGCTTTTATTTAGAATGGAAGGGCAGATAAAGTGCTTCTCAGATAAGGTCAAGTTCAAGGAGATCGTCATCACCAAGCCCTTATTATATGAAATGTTAAAGGGGTTTATCTAAGAAAAAGAAGATTAAAAAAAATATGAACAGTAAAATGACAGCAAACTATTATTAACAACCACAGCTAAGACAAAAATAAAAACAAACTAATCAAACAACTAGAACAGGAACAGAATCACAGAAATGAAGAACACATGGAGGGTTATCAGCAGAGTAGGGGGAGAAAGGGGGAAAAGGTACAGAGAATAAGTAGCATAAATGGTAGGTAAAAAACAGACAGGGGGAGGTTAAGAATAGTATAGGAAATGTAGAAGCCAAAGAACTTGTATGTGTGACCCATGGACACAAACTAAAGCAGGGAATGTGGGTGGGAGGGGGTGTACAGGGTAGAGGAGAATAAAGGGGGGGAAGTTGGACAACTGTAATAAAATGATCAATAAACTATATTAAAAAATAAAAATAGATAAAAATAGAATTCAAATTTTCTGTTTATCGAAAGACCCTTGCTATAGACAAAGTATCAGTTTCCAAACCACATGAAGAATTCTCACAAATCAAGAAAAGGATATCTGGACTTCCGCCAAGATGGAGGCATAGGTGGATATCCATGCCTTCTCACACAACCAAGTTTAGAGACAACTAAATATTAGCAACAGAAAACACAGCCAGAACACAGAAAATTGAACTTTTCGGAAGTCTGTTAACAACAAATTCTTCAGTCTGACCAGTAAGGGGCAAAACCAGCAGCTGGTGGAGTGGGGTAGCACAGGAAAACTCAGTCAGACAGACTCAGGCGCGTGGAATCCAGGCGCAGGGTTGGACCTAGTGAGCGACCAAGCGAGTGACCAAGCAAGCAGCCGCGGGGAAACAGCGAGGGAGCAGAGCTGCGGGTTGACCGTGGTTGCGCATTTGTGCGTGGATAGACAAGCAAGGGAGTGGGCGATTGGACTGGGACCCAGCGGGTTCCCACAGCAAACAGCAGGGAGGGCACCGCCATTTCCCTGCTCTGACCCCACCTCCACATACAGCGTCATAACCCAGCGACTCTGAGTGGCCCGGTCCTGGTGAACCACCTAAGGCTCTGCTCCTACGCAGCGGTGCAAAACAGCAGAGGGTGTTGCCATTTCCCCGCTCTGACCACTCACCCACATACAGCATCACAACCCAGTGACCTGGGAGTCCAAGGCTCCGTTCCTCACACTTAAAGGGCGCGAACAGACCAAAAATGTCACAAGATCTCAAAGCCCCAGAGCCCATAGATCTAAGCAATGAAGAAATAGCAAAACTCTCAGACACACAGTTTAAAACACTGGTGATCAGGATCCTCACAGAACTGGTTGATTATAGCCACAAATTAGACAAATATATGAAGGCAAAACTAATTGAAATGAATGGAATTGCACAGGACACCAATAGCAATGAAAAGGAAACTGGGACTCAAATCAATGGAGTGGACCAGAAGAAAGCAAATAATGGCCAAACAGAAGAGTCAAGAAGCAAGAATTCAAAGAAATGAGGAGAGTCTTAGGAACCTCCAGGACATCTTTAAATGCTCCAACATCCGAATTATAGGGGGTACCAGAAGGGGGAAAGGCACAGCCACCAGTGGAAAACTTATTTGAACAAATAATAAAGGAGAATTTCCCCAATCTGGCAAAGGAAATAGACTTCCAGGAAATCCAGGAAGCTCAGAGAGTACCAAAGAAGTTGGACCCAAGAAGGAACACACCAAGGCACATCATAATTACATTAGCCAAAATTAAAATGGAGAGAATCCTAGAAGCAGCAAGAGCTAAGGGGACAGTCACCTACAAAGGAGTTCCCATCAGACTGTCAGCAGATTTCTCAAAAGAGACCTTACAGGCAAGAAGGGGCTGGAAAGAGGTATTCCAAGTCATGAAATCCAAAGACCTACAACCAAGATTGCTCTATCCAGCAAAACTTTCATTTAGAATGGAAGGTCAGATAAAGTGCTTCTCAGATAAGATCAAATTCAAGGAGTTCATCATCACCAAGCCCTTAT